TAAAACTATGATATGTGCTTCATGTTTTGAAAGTTTTTCCTATATGAAGTTATTGGAAATTTGTGTGTAAATATATATATAACACCAAATACCTTAATCATGAAATAGAATGTGTAGGTATTTATGAAAAATAGGTCATTAGCCTCTAAATTAGTTCCCTAATTCACACACACATATAAAACTTCCCATGGTTTATGACCACTGTCTGAGGCTGTTCTTAAGGAGAGTTTTTCAGATTTAAGTCCTGTAACCTGTGACCATTAATTTGCTTCCAGTAAGATCCAGTTCAGCAGAAAAGAGTAACACCCTCAATGAGATGGATTGACACAGTGGCTGCAACAATGGGCTCAAACATAATGATGTGAGGATGGCACAGGACCAGGCAGTGTTTCATTCTGTTGTATATAAGGTCACTGTGAGTCGGAACCGACTCCATGGCACCTAACAGCAACAACAAGATCCAGCAGTCAACTATAGTGATCTCTGATTTCCCTATCTATGAACTAGGCTTACATGCTATGTTTATACTTAATAACATCTAAAAATATGAGCAGTATTTATGAGAATGGGATTTAAACTAAGTTCTTAAAATCACTTGCTTTCTATAGTTCATCTATAATCTTTAATAATTATATTGTTGGTTCTTATCATACTTTTTAAGTTTAAAGTAAAAAAAATAAAATGTTTAACTCAATTTAAATTTTCTGTAGCCCATGGTCAAATGTGTGTGGCCTGCCAGCTGCTTTTGTAAATAATGTTTAATTATAACATAAAAAAACAAACCCAAACCCACTGCTGTCGAGTCAATTCTGACTCATAGGGAACCTACCCCTGCCCATTTTTTAATGTATTACCCGTAGCTACTTTTGGGGCCCTGGCGGTGCGTTGGTTAAGAGCTTCAGCTGCTAACCAAAAGGTCGTCAGTTGGACTCCACCAGGTGCTCTTTGGAGTCCCTATGGGGCAGTTCTACCCTGTCCTATAGGGTTGCTATGAGTCGGAATTGACTCAACAAAAATGGGTTTGGTTTTGGTTTTTGGTGACTACTTTTGTATTACAACAGCAAAGCTGAGTAGTTACAACAGGAACTTATGAACTACAAAGCCTCAAATGTTTACTACCAGGCCCTTTATGGAAAAAATTTGCCAACCCCTGCTTTAGATCAGCACTGTCCAGTAGAACTTTTCTGCAGTGATAGAAATATTTTATATTTGCCCTGTTCAGTACAATAGCCACTATTCAAATGCAGCTATGGAACACTTAAAATATTGTTCGTACTACTGAGAAATTGAATTTTTAATTTAATACCCATTCCCAACCTGTTGCTGTTGAGTCAATTCCAACTCATAGCGATCCAATGGGGCAGAGCAGAACTGCCCCATAGGGTTTCCAAGGAGCAACTGGTGGATTTGAACTGCAGATGTTTTGATTAGCAGCTGAATGCTTAACCACTGCACCAGCAGGGCTAATACCAATTTTAATTTTAAATAGCCACATGTGGCTAGTGGTTACCATATTGGACAGCACAGTTCTAGATGGAGAAGACAAATGCAGAAGCACACCAATACTGATCTTTTAACATTGAGATTCAAGTAGCAGCTGGACAGGGATGTCAGATGGAAGTAGGACTGGAAGTTCAACCAGGCAGATGTAAGTCAGACAGGGAATCACATTTCAGGGTAGTTAGCACTAGAAAGAATAGGCATTTACTCCAGACTTGGGTAAGCAAACTATATGTAATCCAGGCAAATCAGCTGAAGAGGATCAGACTGGTGATCTAAGCATAGACAGATAGGTCTTGAATTCAAGAGATCTTGGAGACCATGGAGTTCCGGGTTGGACAGAACTGGGCAATAATGTGAGTTCAAGCCCTAAGGCTGAAACGTGTTTGCTTCTTTTTTTTTTTTTTTTTTTTTAATCAACTGTCCTTGGGGATTGGTAGTCCTGGACCTAAAGGAAGTTGGGAAGTAGGGATATTAGAAAACTGGTTGAGGCAGGCAAAGAAACTTGTTGAACAAGTACAATTAAGATTTTGTAAACTGAGCATTTAGGTTCCAAGGCTAGGTAAGATGATAAACACTACTGCGGATAAGTTTTCCTTGAGAAAATGATTTTAAAACCTGTGTTCTTTTAAAGAAGGAAGTGCTGCATATGGTAAAGAATCAGGAATTTCTGATAATTGGAGTTTAGTATAAAAAGGCATAAAAATAGAACCTAAATTACTGGAGTTTAAATATATGAGAGGAAAACAAAAAATGTAATGAGAAAGAAAAAGGGAAAATCTGTGAATCAACTGAGTTTTTTAAAGACCAGATTGAAGTTTTATAGGTTATAGGGAATTCTCAAATATCCTAGAACAAGAATTGTAGACATTTTATTTTAACATTTTAGCTGTTAAATCTAGGGCAGATCACAATTTGGAGTCATTGAAATTTAGAAACCACTAAGCAAAAAGCCCTAAAGCCCTGGATTAGGATGAATACTGTGTAAATAGAGAGCAAATTCAAAATCTTGAGCAAATGAAAACAAACAACAAAATTCACAGAAGTTGGTGAAAATGTAACAGACTCGGGGAAAAATTAAGTTTTTGATTGTTAGTGTCATTGATAGCAATGAGAAATTGGGAAGAGATCTGTTTGTGGGATGGAAGATGAAGCAGTCGAGAAAACATGTAAAGTTTAATGTGCACCTTTAATGCACAACCCCAAATTAAGTTTTATAAATGCTTAAAATGCGAACATTATGATTTTTAATATGTTAGGGGAAATTTTTTACTTTTAAACATTTGTTACAAGTATATGTTATATTTAGTTTACTTTGAAAAATAGAAATAATATTAATCAGAAAAAAAACCAAATGGTATAACTGAGTTGCTATTGTGGTAGAGTAATAATGTCTTCCAGCAAATATTTTACTACGTTACAAAAAAAAAAGATCTCTGTAAGATTACTATTATCATAGCCTTATCCATGTAGATGAGAAAATTGACTTCCTATACTCATTAAGCATTCAGCTGCTAAACAAAAGGTTGGCAGTTCGAACCCACCCAGTGGCACCGAGGGAGAAAAATGGGGCGGTCTGCTTCCATAAAGATTATATAGCCTAGGAAACCCTATGGGGCAGTTCTACTCTGTCACATTGGGTCACGGTGAGTCAGAATTGACTCAACAGCACACAATGACAACATAGTCATTAAGCTGATTAGGCTTAAAGTATCCCTCTGTCATTTCCTGTATGTTTTAAGATGCCATTTTGGAGAGTGTTATGAATTTTTATTCGTATGATTTATATGTAGTGTGAATTATTTATATATTGTATGGATAAAACACTGATTAATTGGGAAAACTGCTTAGGGATACAAAATAATCATGATCTTAACACAAATAAAATCATATTTGTATAGTACTTTGCACTTTCGAGTCATCGCCATTCTTCATTTAAGGAAATAAAAAGTTGCTTGGCAGTGCTGCCTCTGGTTCTCTCCCTGTGTGTGTCCAGAAAAATGGATGCATAGCCCATATGCTCCACACTGATTGCGTGTATTTTAACTGTGATAGAAACGTTTTTATTTGAAAAGTCATGTGTACATGTATTTCTCTGACATTTCCAATTTTTGGAAAAAAAAATGTTCATGCTTGCTGAAAATGTTTAGTTTTTCTCTGGATAGATACATCATATTTTAAAAAAAAACCTTTCCCCCCAGGATTTCTTTTTAAATGGTTCACAGTTAAATTTAAATTTCTATATTTAGGTAGAATTATGTTTATATACCAACCACCAGTATCCAGGAAATTAAGTGGTAAGGCTGACACATAGAGAGTTTATAGTCTATTTTGTAGTCTCTGTATTTAGAGAACGTTTGAAGCTTAGTTAGCAAAATCGCTAAAACATTCAAGCAGAATTTCTATAGCACAAATGCACGATATGATTTCATATAATTATTAAGATAACAGTATTTTGCTTTTTAAAGCTTAGTTCTCAGGAATATGTCTTAGATTTATTACTTTGAAAGAAGGATGAATTCAGGAACAGCTTTTATATGTAAATATTTTTATAATATTTCAGATTGGATTGAGTTGGTTTGTTGCAATCAGCATGGGTTGATCAAATTTGGAAGAAGTTACAGGCACATTTTTGTAGTGTTTTCTCCAGCATCTTTATTTTTTTCAGATGGATGTATTTTATGTTCCTTCCAACTAATCAAAATAAGAAACTGATTTTGCCAGTGCCAAAAAATAGAACTATCATTTTTCACATTCTTTTATTTTCTAGGTCATTTTCAAGTAAGATTGTATTTCTAGGACTTCTGAATTCCTGAGAACTCTTGACTTTGTAGATATAAGGGCCCAGATGAACATTTCAGGGGGAATCTAACTTTTCATGCAGTATGTTTTGTGTTGTACATTCCAGATACAGTTAACTTTTTGTGTGCATGTGATTAGTGTGGAAAGAAATTAATGCAGTCCAGTATTATGATTTATAGACTGAATCTTTTACCCACTGAAGACTTGCCAAAACTAAAAGTATTTTTTTTTTCCTTTGGATATTAGAAACAGCTACTGTTTTTGTTGATCTTTTAAAGTTCTGAATGGGCCTATTTCAAATCATACCAGCATGGGAGCTCAGATTAATAATATACTTATTCAACTAGTGATACTGAGTGAAACCATTGCTCACATGGGTATGAAGGGTAAAATTTCATAAAATTATTTTCAGGTGCATTAATGCATTTCTGAAGGCTGTGCATGATTTTTCTTTTGCAGGAAAGAAATCAAGGATTTCTGTTTATTGTATCAGTTACAGGTGGGCTCATAAGTTAATTTAATTGCTTTTTTTAATCCTAAAACATAAGACATTCTGCTTTTAAAAGCAATAACATGATTGCGGTATTATTCCCAAAGGTTTCTAACTGTAAGTGTGTTTATCTCTCTTGAGACATCATGACTGTAGTACGTTTAATTTATATTATTGAGAAAATTTTCCAATTTTCTTTCGTTGTTAGTTACAGCAAGCTGCTGAAATTTCTCAGCTGCGTGGAGCACGGGTGATTTCTGCTGAAGATCTTTTGTTTCTGATGCGCAAAGATAAGGTAATAGAAAACAATTTCATTGTATTAAAATGCCGCGCTTACTGCCTGCTTGCACTTACATAAGGAACTATATATCTTTGTTATATAGCTTTCAGATTGGAATCATAACTATTGAACTGATGTTTTAGTCTTTATAGTTTACACCACAAAATGAGTTTAGTATATGAGAACTGATATTTATTTTTACATGGGCATCTATGTGAACACTGTGGTAACGGCTAATCCTCACTTATCCTCAGACGTCTAATTAGACGTTTTCGTAGCTACATAATATTCACTAAATATCACTGTGTTCTGCGTTCTGATAAATGGGATATAACTGAATGACATATTTATATTTACCTGTAATTTTATGCATAAATATTATCAGCATTACAGACTTCCGTAGAGTAACTCATTATCTTGAAATACAAAATTTATTCTGTGACACCAGCTTCCAAGAAAAAGCAAATCAATCAAGATGAATATCCTGATAGCATAAATATATACCATCATTCCCATTTATTTTAAAGTTAAAGATCTTTCTTTGTTATTCTTTGAACTCTAGTATTAAAATACTTAAAGCAGTATTTGCATGCATGTCTGATTTTCTCCTATCTTCCATGAGTAGCTAATTGAAAATATTCTACAGAATTTTACGTTTTTAATAAAAGTTTCATCCGAAAATCATGTACATATTTAAAAAAATGTAACTGAATAGCCATAGTGTGTTAAGAGTAGATGCTTTCCCAAGTGAGCAAGCAGTGCTCTCTTCCTAGCGTTTCATCTTTCATTTCTCCCTTGTTATTTCCTGGCCTTTAAATTATACTTTCTCGTTTCCCATCTACCATTTTTATATGCCCGTGGCTCTGTGTGTGTTGTTGTTTTTTCAATCATCAGAAGATATCCCATCTGCTTTTTTGGATAACCTTGTTAACATCCTTCTAATATGCTGTTACTTGATTCCCTCTTTTAAAAGTTTCATTATGATTGGCTCGGTATTGACTAAACCTGTATCAGATATTTTGTCTTCCTTACGTGATGAGGTGTAATGAGACTCAAAGTCCTACAGACTGCACCTTGACTAGTACCATTTAGTTTTATAAAATGTTAATTCAACAACTCTTAGATGGTAAGAAGAATATAAAGGAAGAGAAAAGAAATGCCTTCTCTATCAAGAAGCTAATGATCTAGTTTAGGAAATCTGTATGATTTAGCTGAAGAAACATCTTAAAACTCACAGAATTTCAAGGTTGTGTGATCAGGTGGGAGAGGCTGTAGGATTTGTTGAAGTGGAGGTTTCTACCTAGGCTGAGGCTCAGATAATATAGCAGTCGTATGTAGAGTGGACCAAATGCAGAGAAGAAGTTAAATAGGATGCTGGTTCAGTAATCAAGTCAAAATATGTTTAGGAGGATAGGTCTGGAAATGAATAGGAAGAAGAATTATGAGAGATTGTGAAGTATAAAAACTGTGAAGAATAAAAATTTGTAGGATTTGGTGACTTCATTATATTTGGAGGACTAAACAGAAATAGGCATTAAATCCTATACAGCATTTGTGCTGTGAGAAAGCAGCCCGAGGTGCTGTTGGCAGAAATGTGGACCTCAAGCAAAGATTCTGTATGAAGTCAGCTGGGGAACAATGGAGTTACCGTTCATACTTTATAGCATGTCTGTAGTCAAATTTTGTTTTTTACTGATGGGAGTTTTTTTTTTAGTTTGTCACATAAAATAGTCCTCACTGACACTTTCTCCTGCCTTTGGGGGAAATCAGAATCTAAAATCATATTGAAACTTCAAGAACATATACCAGTTAATCATGCTCTTCTACTGCCCACACGGGGGGACTCTTAGCCAGAATCTTTTCAGGAACACAGAACATAGTTATGATATAATAGGTTGCTAGTTTTCTCATCTTTTTTTTTTTTTCAAAATAATAACTTATTTATACGCTGACATATTCCAAAATAATTTAAGGTAGCTTACGTAGGTATAAGACAAAATAAAATTTAAAGTGCTGAATGGAATAAAGACAGAAAAGAAGGGCAGCAAAAGACCTATGTACAGATATATGTTTTTTCTCTTCAAAATTCCAGTTTGTTTTCAACCAGTGTTTATTTAGACTGCCTACTACATTTTACATATTGCACTAACAGCTTCATTCATTCTCTCATTTAGTTCTCTGTAAAGTAGGTACTCTTCTTATTTTATAGGTGTAGAAACTGAGCTTCAGAGGGTTATGTTCTACTTCTGGCCCTGCTGCACTCTAGTTGTAAGACTGCTATTAACCTCAGTTTCCCTATATATAGAAAGGAGATGGTAACGTTTGTCTGTGTCACCAAAACCCAAACTCATTGCCGTTGAGTCGATTCCAACTCATAGTGACCATATAGGACAGAGTAGAACTGCCCCATAGGGTTTCTGAGAAGCAGCTGGTAGTTTCAAACTGCCAGCCTTTTGGTTAGCAGCTATAGCTCTTAACCACTGCACCACCAGGGCTCCGTCTATGTCACAGGGCTATTGAAAACAGCAAATGATGCATGTAGAAGTGCTTTTTAAAATTCAGTGTATTTCAGCTATTATTAGAAATCTTAAACTTGAAGGTTGGAAACCAATGATAATACTTTCTAAGTGCAAGCACACAAAAGCTACATATAGTCAGTTACTTTTAAAGTTAAGCAATTTTGTGGTCTTCTAATAAAACTAAAGATACCATCATTAAGATCTAACTCTTATTCATCAGCTTGGAGTTTCAGAAAAATATGTTTCTCAGATTACAGAACTTTTTCCAGAAATGTAACACATAAAGCAACTCTTCTGACTAAAAGAAAATATCCTCAGAGAATAAAAAGGAGACTGCTTGGCTTTTTAAAGCAATTGTTGCTGCAAACTCATCCATAAATCAGTTTTTAAAAATACATTTTTGTATTGAATATATATAAAATTCCATATCAGTACAGTCAGCTTGGTATGAAGAACATGGTATTTTTCACAATCTTAAGAAGGAACTTCAAAATTTTTATAAGATGCACAGAAAAAAAAACAATTATTGTGATTCTGGAGCATTTGGATAGTTGCAAATGAAAAGTGCTTTTAAAAATACTTGTGTTTTAGCTTTTATGTGTAACTTGATGACTACCTTTTTCTTTCATAGTATTATGCTGAGGATTGCTATATTTTCTCCAGTGTATCTTGGGGTACAAGCTTATTAAATTTATTTATCATATTAGTCTTTAATCAATAAGATGGGTATGTATATAAATTTTCTTATTTACTTATTTCATATTTTTTAATAGAAAAAACTTAGAAGACTGCTAAAATACATGTTCTTCCGAGACTACAAATCAAAGATTGTCAAAGGCATAGATGAGGATGATCTTCTGGAAGGTAACCAAAACAAAACACTAAGCTAACAACAATAGCTTATGCCACATGTATGCTGGATGACACATGTATGCAGAGTCAGTGCAGATATTCCAACAGAAAAGAATTCATGTACTTCGGTTAGATAATGTAGTTTAGAAATTATCCAAATATTTACTTAGTTGACAATTTAATCTCGTGATTTCTATTTATGTGACTTCATAGCAATCTAGTGTTTCAGTTCTTTCTTTCAGTAATGTGTCCTACTTTACATCAGAGTATCATGAAACTACAAAAATGGCTTGATTCAAAACATAGTTGATTTTAGCAAGGATAATTTTTTCTGTGGTGGATGTAGAGAATGAAAATTTTTATGTATCTGTGAAACTGACACATAATGGGTTTTTTAAAAAAAATTATTATGAAAGGTATCTGATATGTTTTATGAAGTAAAGTCACCTCATTCTGGTAAGTCATTTCTGTGCTATGCGAAATATAATGAAAAGCATAACATAGAGTAGAAAATTTTTCTTACCGATCTATATCACCTCAATTCTCCATTTTAGAATATTTAGAAAAATGTTAATGATGCAAAAGAAAACAGTGCTAGGCTGAAAATAGATAAGTACTAAGCAATACTTACTGATTCAAAATAAAGATACGTTTTTAGAAATTACTAATATGTTTTGTATATTAATTACAGTTATTATATGGTGGCATTCGTTGCTAATAGAAACACTGATAAATAGACAAAGTAGCTAAAGCAACTACTGGATTAAGGATCATCACAGAAAACTATTCAGAACAAACTAAAGTGTCAACAGACGTTAATAGAGAACTAGTTACTTTCATTTACCATCAGCAAATCAGCAAGTGAAATAGTCTTGCAAATATATATATGTGTATATGTACGTACACATATGTAAAACCAAAACCAAGCCCACTGCTGTCAAGTCAATTCCAATTCATAGCGCAAGTTGATTCCGACTCATAGCAACCCTATTGGACAGAGTGGAGCTGCCCCATAGGGTTTCCAAGGAGCAGCTGGTGGATTCGAACTACCAGCCTTTTGGTTAGCAGCTGATCTCTTAACCACTGCGCCACCAGGGCTCTCCCTATATATATTCTGATCAAATGAATTACTTAATGTCACCTATTTAATATTGCTGTAATTCTCATAGAATTTAATTTCTGGAAAATAGTTCTCCAGATGAATTTAAATGCTTTCTTTTATTGAGGCATAAAGAATGTAGACTTGGAAAAAAACAGACCTGAATTCCAGTCAATCCCAGTTCTTTGCCTTATCTATGTGACCTTGAGAATCAGTTTCCTCATTTATGAGAGGAAAATTATACCACTTACCATGTGGAGTTCTTATGAGGATTCAACATACTATATGAAAAGCACCTGATATCTTCTTTCCAGTGAATAAATCATGGCTGTTAATACCATACTTTGAGTACCAAGAAGCTCAGAGTGGTGAGACTTAGAATTTAGTTTTGCTGACATTATCATATTAGTTTGAAACCCTATCTTTGTTAGTGGTTTTAAATCTCTCCACTTTATCTTATTTTTTAAATTTGTGTGTCTTATATAAAGCACATTAAAACCTTTTAAAAATAGTTGGTATAATTTATAAAATAAAATATTCAGATAAAGTATATCTACTTCTGAGGTAAGACTTCTAGAATGGTGGTATGAGTAGCTTGGCAGGCTCATTCACCACCAAAACAACCATCTGTCTGGTGAATATTATAATAAATAATAATTTAAAGGCTCTAAAAATTGTCCTAAGGGCATATAAAAATGGAGAAACATGTATTCAAGAAAATCTATTAAATCTTGTTAAGAACATCGAGAGTCTGTTGCATTTGAGCCATGACCTGCTCCCATCACCCCACGCACCTATCCCGCTTCAGTGTGATAGAAACTCTACTCTGGGTGCATGTGGCCAAGAACACCAAACTCCTTACCTCCCAGCTCTCAGTGTAGGACAACAGTTTTATTCCAACAAAGCAGTAGGCCAGCATCTCTCAGCCCCCCTCAGCACTGTTTTGCAGAAGTTCTATTCTAGGTATTCAGCCTCCATTCATAGGGTAGAGGCTCTAACCCAGGCATGGCAGGCTGAGAATACTGGGCCCCAGTTGCCCTCACCCAACCCCCTCATGAGGAAGGACACTCCATACCAGAAGGTACAAACCCAGAAGACTAGAGGCTAACATTTCCAGCTCCTTGCTCTTAGAGCATGGCGGTGTCTCCAGGAGAAGATGATTGCTGTGCCGACTCCCACCTCCAGTACAGTGGTGCAAAAGTTTGGTTAGAGGGAAGGGCAGCCTTAAGAACCAGAGAGCTCTGCAGCTCTCCCTAAGTGAACTAACTATTTGGAACAGATCATGTGGAAGTTCATACCTAAGGGTGTTGTAAAAAACTGTGGAGATCCTGGTGGTGAGCAATTAAGAGGAGGCTGGTAGCTACATGATACCAGTAACAACAAGTAAAACAGTGTGTCTGCTAGAAATTTAACATAAGAAACTAGGGAAAGAGACAGCTAAGAAGAACCTTTTTGGGGTAAGGGCAAAACTCAAACTTTGGTAACACACTGACCTTGCAAAGGGGCTCAACATAGATCAGACTGTGGAGCAATTTATGCCAAGGGTATTGTCAAAAACAATAGGGCAATCGGCTAGCAATTAGTGGAGGTTAACAGCTGTGTGTGATAACAATAAAGTCAGACCAGCCAGAAATTTAATGGGGAGATCAGAAATGGAAAAAGAGAGCCCAACTAAAACCACAGTCATCACTGGTGGCCTAGGAGACAGTTTGCATGCTGAAGGTTGTGTCCTCTAAGGATTAACATCAGAGACTACATGCTGTGAGGGGAATAGATGTCATTGAACTAGTCCACCCGAGTCACTAAACAAATAACCAAACAAGAAGAAGCCCCAGGAGGGGGAGGGAATCGTTATCTAGAGTTGCTACAATATGTTACGTGAAATATCTGATTTTCAACAACAAAAAATAGTAGACATGCAAAGAAACAGGAAAATGTGACCCATAGACAAGAAAAAGAAAGCAGGCAATGGAAATTGCCCTTGAGGAGCATAAATGTTGGACTTAGACAAAAAAAATCCAAAGTAGCTAATATAAATATGTTAAGAACTAAACAAAACCATGTTTAAAGAATAAAAGGAAAGTATAATGACAGTGTCTCATAAAATAGAGAAATTATTTTTAAAAAATCCAAAGCAAATTCTGCAGTTGAGAAGTACAATCACTGAAATGAAAAATTCAATAGAGGTGCTCAACAGTAGCTTTGAACTGGCAGAAGAGAAAAATTATATACAAGGGAACCCCATAAGATTAACATCTGACTTCTAATCAAAACAGTGGAAACGAGAAGGCATTGGGATGACATATTTAATGTGCTAAAAAAAAAAAAAACAAAAACTGTCAACCAAGAAACTTACCTTGAGCAAAACTATCATTCAAAAACAGAAGTGAAATAAAGTCATTCCCGGATAAACAAAAACTGAGAGAATTTGTTGCTAGCAGACTTACTGTATAAGAAATACTGAAGGAAGTTCTTCAGACTGAAAGCAAGTGACAAGAGACAGTAAGTTGAATCCATGTGAAAAAAAAAAAGAGCACCTATAATAGTAATGATGTAGGTAAACTGAAGAGACAGTGTAATTGCACATTCCTTCCCCTTTCTTTTATTAACTGATTTTAACAATAACTACACAAAAGAGGTGGATGGAAACAAAAATGTATTGCCATAAGGAAAAGACAAGTGATAGTAACTTAAATTTTCAGAAAGAAGTAAAGGAAACCAAAAATGGTAACCAAGATGGTTAACATAACAAACTATAAATACATACTTGCTCTCCTTTCTTTCATCTCTTTAAAAGCATAAAATTATATGAAGTAATAATTATAGCAATACATTGTTGGGTTTGTAACATGTATAGACATAATAATGTTTAACAATAATAGCACAAAAATAGAGGAGGGACTAGAACTATATAGAAGTAAAGTTTCTATGTCTGACTTAAGTTAGTAAAAATCTGAAATAGATTCTGATAAATGAAAATGTATGTTGTAAGCCCTGGAACAACTACTAACTCAAGTAACTCAAGAAATTGAGTTAAAAAGTAGTAAAAGAATTAAAATGTTACACTAGAAAATATTTACTTAATGCAAAAGAAGCCAGTAAAGGAGAAACAGGAACAACAGCAACAAAACAATATGAGACATATATAGAAAACAAAGTAAAATGGCAGAAGTAAATGTAACCTTATCAATAATAAGAACAAATGTGAATGGCTTAAACAAGCCAATCAAAAGGCAGAGATTGTCACACTGCGTAAAAAACAAGATTCAACTATATGCTGTCTACAGAAGACACACATAGCTTCAAAGATACAAATAGGTTGAAAACAAAAGAATGAAAAAAGATATACCATACAAACAACAACCATAAGTGAGCTGGAGTGGACTTGGCATAACCTGTCAATTTTATTGTTCTTTTCAAAGAAGCAGCTTTTGCCTTTATCCTTTTCATTTTTTTTTTCCTATTTCATTAATTTTAGTATTTACCTTTATTAACTTCCTTTATCCACTTTTCTTTTGGTCTTTTTTTTTTTTTTTTCCCTAGTTTCTTATAGTAAACTCTTAGGCAATCTATTTTAAATATTTCCTTTTTAAATAAAAAGGCATTTAAGCTAAAAATTTACCTCTGAGCTGAGCTTTAGCTGTAACTATGGTAACTGCTATGAAATGTTCCTCTTTTCATTAATTTATAGATAACTTATCATTTGAATTCTCATTTACCCTTTACTCCAGGGGTTATTAAAGATGATGTTTTTAAATTTCTAAGTAGATAGCACCTCATTATTTTGAATGTGTTTATTGATTATTGTCTATGATCAGAATATATGACATAAAATGTCTACCTTTATGGAATTTATTAAAGTTTTTATTGTGGTCAAGTATGTGGATAAGAAGGGAGATTTTTAGGGCACTACAACTATATATGACACCCTTTTCCTCCATCTCCAATTCTAATTTGTCTACCTTTCTGGCCAAACTGTGTGAGGCTTACCTAAATCTGGGTACAAGTGAGGCCTTACACGCTGTGGCTGTCCCTGTGAGGAGATCCAGCTGTGGCATTCTCCCCACTATGCTCTAGCTAAACACAGTAGACCAGCAGGGAGGAGCCCTTGGGCGAGGACAAGAAAATAGAAGACATTGGAAATAGCTTGGCCTTCAGGGATCTGTGGGAGCTTGAGGAGAAGGCTAACACAGGCCCCTCTAGGATATCCCTCTTGACTTGCAAGAGCTGAGAAGGAGCTGAATGGGTGGACTGAATTCTCCATATCCCTGAAGCTGGAAGAATATGAGGAGAATGAGAGCAGTACCTCAGCAGGTTCTGGCAGTCTGCCTGCTTCTACATTACCTGCTTTGCCTTTTACTACCTGTGGCATCGCTCTTACATAGGGTGTTCCAACAGTCACACCCGTCCTAAAAAGCAGAAAAAGAAAGAAAAATCTACGAGTAGAGGGCACAAACCTAGGCAGAGGAAGATAAGACAAAGAGAACACAATACCTGCCCAGAAAAATAGAACTGGGAGGTAGATGACAACTTAAATTAAAAATAGTAAGAATAGTTAGTGATGTAGCACAAACGAGGTTTTCCAGAGCTAACACACATAGCTTCCCAACTAAATAACTTAATAGAGTAATTTTAAAAAATTATAGTCACTCTTGAGACCAAATTACGGAAGATAAAATGTAATAGCTGTAACCAAGCACATAGCAAAACATAAACATACAGAAGTTACGAGGGGAAAGGTAAGAGATTTAGAGGATAAATCTAAGGTACTTAACATGCATTTGATAGGCATTTCAGAAAGAGAAAAACGAAGAAATGAAGGAGAGGCAGTTTTTAAATAAATGATAGAATATCCTTAACTGTAAGAAAACCTGAGGCTGCATAGCAAAAGGGTGATTGAGTTCTAGGCTTTTTTTGTTGAGCAAATATACATACTTGGAATATCCCAGTAAAATTTCTGATCTCTAAACATAATGAGAAAAATCTTACAAATAACCAGTCTCAACAACACCCCCCACCAAAAAAAAAAAAAAAAAAGCCAATAGTTGAATAAATTAGATTGTGATTGGAGTTTTTTAACACTGGAACCTAGAACACTTATAAAAATTAATTATGGAATTGGCCACAAATTACACCTTTACAAATAGAAATAAGAACAGATATCTGAGGATCTGATTCACTGATCTTAATTCAATAAAATTATAAATAAATAAAAATAAATAAGCAAAACATCTTACCTACTTGGAAATTAAGAAATGCACTCATAAATAATCCTAGGATCAAAATGCACGTCAAAAGACTCAATGAAAAGAAAAATGCTTTATGCGAATATCTGTAGGACTCAGTGACAGCAGTCCTGGAAGTGGAAATGGGGAAAAACTTTTGTTTACTTTGGCTATCACAACTACTAGAGTTAGGAATAAATATAACAGCTAAGGAAAAACTAATTGAAGACCATTAAACATGATCTTACTGAATGGACTACGTATCATGTTCTTGGACAGAAGACAATATCGCATATAGAAAACTCCAACCAAAATTAATAAATAAAATTAATGTGGCTCTAGATATAATCCCAGTGATGTTTTCTTGGAATTGTATAAAGAGATCTTAACATTTCTATGGTGGAATAAATGCTCATATGTAGTTAGGAAAAGAATGGGAAAAAAAAAAAGTAGCATATACTGTAAAGCCTATGGTGTTAAATAGTACTAGATATGCAGATCAGTGAAACCAATTAGAAAATTCAGGAATAGAACCTGAGGGCTGTGTGTATATCTGAGTGTAAGATATGACAGAAATTCAATTCCTATTGGAAAAAATTGTCTTATTTAATCAGTGGATCTGTCCATCTGGCTATCCACTGGAAGAAAATAAAAGTGAACCTACAAAACAAACAGTATACAAAATAAATTCCAGATGGATTAAAGATGAAAAACATACCAAAAAACAAAGCAATGTAAGTCTGTAAAGAAAACCTAGGACATTACATTTATATCCTGTGGGAGTGGAGCGAAGTCACTTCAAACAAGAAGTTATAGAAGAAAAGATGAACTTATTTGACAGTATATAGTTTTTAAAAGATGCCCTAAAATCAATAGATAAATGGTAGACTAGGAAAAACATTTTTAATTAGTCGATGACAAAGGGTCAGTATAAAAGGGCTCCTTTAAACTAACAAGAAAAAGACAAACAACCCAGTTGGAAAATAGGCAAAAGGTAAAAATTGGCAGTTATCAGAAAGGCTTATCCATATAGCTGAAAAACATATAAGAATAATACTTAACTTCATTGGTAGTTAGGAAAAGTAAATATTTCCTTCATAATGGTATGCCACTTTATACCCATCAGACTTTCTCCACGTACAGAAAAGGTAATTCTTATTGGTGCTGGAATGTGAAGTGTTAATGCCTTGGAAGGTAATCTCATTACACCTATTAAAGTTTAAAGCGTTTGTAACATTTAGCCCAGTAGTCCCACTCCTGGGAATCAACGCCATAAAAATAAAGCCTCTTGTACAGAAGAGAATATGAATGGGGATGATTATTTATTTCAACATTGACCACAGTGGCAAAAAACAGAACCAAAGTGTGCACCTGTCAACAGGGCATTGGTTGGAAAAGCTGTGGTACATACATACCACACACTACTATTCAACCCTTATAAAGAGTGAATTAGAGCTATACCAGTTGATTTAGAGGGCTTCTTCTATCTCATTGACTGAGAAAAGTGAGATCTAAAAATATATATATATATATATATATAATAAAAAATATATCAGAAGAACCCTTTCATAAAAGGTAAACATTAATAAAACACCCCTATAATTGAGTGTGTGATTATAAATGAGCATGGAGAAATATATGGATGGATGTATATACTACATGGCTAATATGAGTTACATCTAGGGTTGTGGATTGACTGATAACATAAAAGAGAAGAAAATGGGGAAGGGCAATCAAGCAATCAGTGTATATGATATCATTTTTATATATTTTATTTATAGTTATATTTTAATTATAGTTATGTATATCTATAAAAACTTTTTAAAAGAAATTTAAAAAGAAAATGATAAAAATGAAGAAAAATTATTTATGGATCTCAGAGAATAGTGTTAATTCTTCATACCTGTATAGATATCACAGAGCTTATAGATTTTTTTTTATTTTTGAAATCTCTGTAGTCTTACCTTAAGTTGTCAAATTTTAAAAGAAAAATATCCAGATATATCACAATGGTTGTGTTTTTTATTAAGTTTTCTTTTGTATTACAGTATTCATTTTGCTATTATCTTTGGTGCATAAAGTTATTGACTGTTAATCTTTCTTGTAGATTGTACCTTTCATTGTTAGGTAATATTCCACCTTGTCTCATTTATTGCTTTTGGTCTTGAACTATATTTTCTAACATCAATGCTACCAGTCCTGCTTTCTTTGCTTGCATCTGCCTAGTTACACATTCTTGCTTTTTTTTTTTTAATTGTCATTTTTTAAAAGATGTATCTGTTATGAATACTATGTAGCAGGGTTCTTTTTCCAAATCTGAAAGCCCTCCTTTTTGCAAAGGTTTTCAGCCCATTCACATTTATTGTGGTAATTTATAATTTGGTTTTATTCTTTTATTCTTATTTGTGACACACATAAATATATGAATGATTTAATTCTAGACAACTTATACCTTTATTTTTGGATGCAAGCATTCCCTTTTTTAAGATTATTTTGAGAAGAATCCCAATTCTGAATTTCGTATGCAATGTTCAAGATATGTTTGGTACTGATGTAAACCTATTGCGAATGTTTCTTTTTTCCTTCCCTTATCTTCATGAAGACAAATTGAGTGGCAGCAATAATACAAACAAAAGACAAAAAATAGCTCAAGACTTTCTCAACTCTATTGACCAGACAGGAGAACTCTTGGCAATGCTTGAAGATGATGAAATTGATGAAGTTAAACAAGAGAGAATGGAGGTATAGTACATTCTTCCCTTTTTTACAGTAATAGAATAACCATTGTAGTGTCTATGCCACTTGCTTCTATTCTCGTGTTCTTTAGATGTTGTCTGAAACATCCAAGTCAGTGGTTTTATGAATGAAAGCAGAATGGTGCGGTAGAGTAAGCCCTGGAGAAAGAGTTAAGCTCTGATTTCAGAGTTGACTTTGGGGGACGACTTCAGTTCTCTGTTTCTTCCTCTGAAATTGAGTAGGTTTCCAAGTTTCCTTTTGGAGCTTACATTTAGTAATATTTCATTCCATAAAAACTAATTTATAATTAAGTATTAATTTTTGGTTCTAAATCATCCAGTCATCTTTGTGGGTAAAGGTAATTCTTACTGCTTTGTGTTGGCATATAGTGTGAAGAGCTATTTTTCAAGCTGGAGTTGCAGGCTTATAGTTGGATTCCCTGAATAAGGTAGTATCCAAGGCAATTGTATGCTTTACATCATGGTAACACCAAGTTAGTACCACATATTTGCATTCCCTGGATGTGTTTTAACAGTGACTATGAAAATTGCTTGCCTTCTACTTACCTTAGCTGTCTATACCTGAAATTAACATTTCTTTAAGTACTTCTTTAAAAAAGTAATGATTGATTTGAGTGTCTTCCAAAACAAAAGGCACTATGCTTATTGTTCTTAATACTACCATATACTTTTACATGTAAGAAGTCTCCATTTTCCCCTTCTGTTGAAATTAGACAAGAGAGGTAATTCCAGAACTCCCAAAGATTGTGCTAAGTGTCTACTTTATCATAGTCTCTAGGCTTACTAAAATATAATTATTTCATGTTAAATTTTGGAGGAACTCCAGTAGACATACATGCTTTATAAACTTTAACAACCTTCTTTAAAGAATTAGTATGCTTAGATCATGAACTGTGATCTAAAGGCAGTGTTCTTTTTAGGTATCAATTACCTTAGAAATGTGTGGTTATCTTGGTTTTGGGCAACTGCAAATGGTTTTAGTTCAAATTCGCCTTGGGCCAAAAACATGCTAAGTTGTCCAAAGCAGATGATAAACATATATTTCTGATGTCATTATGACCTAAACAGGATATGATTGTTTAGTGGCATGGTTTCACTTATGATACATTGCACAAAAAGAAAATATTGTTTATGCTTTATTTTAAAAACATTATTATATAAATGGGCATTAAGAAAGGGTTGTTAAGGAAGGGCTCTCTACATGAAACATTAGTAACATTGAACAAGTAGCTTTCCAGTTTCGATGGGAAAATCTCTGTCAACCAAGCCCATTGCCCAGAAGGGCATTCCACAATCAAGGAAAAGAAAAGAAATGGAGCATTTTGTAACACTAAGCTCATAATAGCAGGCTACTGTGGGTCTGGAAAAATGATGAGTCAATAAGGTACAAGTAAAAGTCAATAAAATATCTGGAAATATGGGTTAGAAAAAGCTTGAGCACTTACGCAGTGTGTATACTTCTCCCCTTTAGTTATAATCTATATTATTTACATATATATATATATATATAAAGTGTATATAGGGGTAGCCAGGGTAATAAAATATCAGTAGTATATAAAAATAGAGTGAAAGTCAGCGCCATCTATGCAATGAAAATTAGATTGGCAGTTTCGTCAAGCTTTATATCATAACTAAAACCTTCTCTAACCAAGATAACAAAGAATGGTTTTAAGATTCTACTCATCCAAATAACAGAGTTTAACTGGATAAAAAATGCTGAACTTGTAGACATAACTGTAGACGGTAGAAAGTGGAACCATTAAGGGCATAGGCCTTGCCTGCTTTTAATTTGACAGGTTATAGTTTCAAGTGAAAACCACAACTGTGGCAGTCCATATGAAACCACTTTGGACTCAGAGACTGCAACCTCTTGCTTTAAAAGTGCAGTAGAATAATCATTCCTGGCATCAATCAGTGATTTAATTTTCCTCTAAACATCATTTATGGTTGCAGAAACTTTATTTACTACCTTCTCCACTAGATGTATGAAAATGGTATAGACCTACCAACAGAGCTTATTTTTGTGTTTCTTTTTTTCTTTTCTTTATTTAAGCATAATTGAGAAGAGAAAAGAAAAACAGTCACTTGGGACCCTAGCTTTTTCTCAAAACATTCAGCAAGTGTACAAAACACAGATTAAGTTCTTTCTTATTGTTTTCAGCTGACTCCTGTGTGTGCCTGGCTTTGTGTTTCAGTCATAATTTGCTTCATTAGTATTGAGCATTTGTGACTCAAAATATAAGAAATCTCTAAATTTTTACATCCATTTCTTCTTGCTAGTCCATCATCATGATAGTTAAGTACCTCTTTACCTATTTCTTTTTCTCCAGAACCAAATTTCTGCCACTTGGGTGTGTCTATAAGTAAAGTGGAAGGAGCCCCAGTGGTGCAATGGTTAAACACTTGGCTGCTAACCGAAAGGTTGGTGGTTCGAATCCACCAGTGGTACCGTGGAAGGAAAGACGTGATGATCTGCTCCTGTAAAGATTACAGCCTGAGAAACCCTATAGGACAATTCCATTCTGTCATGTGGGGTCGCTATGAGTCAGAATTGACTCAACAACAACAGCAGAGTGGATTTCTGATATAATCTCCGAAGAGCCTTCTAAATTATCGAATAAAGATTAATGTTCAGGATTGTTTGAGTGTATTTGAGGGACTGGGAGAGTGAAGGAGTCAGGGAAATTGTAAGCATAATATAATACACATAACAAATTCCTGGCTACCTCCAGCTACCTCCTGCCCCTACCCACCTCCATTCCAGAATGAGGCAGGTGTGTTTTGGTGTTGATACTATTTCTTTCATTCTATATTTTTGAAATCTAATCAGCCAAATGTAGCTGTGTCAACCAAAGGCCAAGAAAGGGTCCCTAAAAGCTGCAAATAGCTTTGGACTTTCCTAACCAGGAGGAACTGGGGTCACTCACAGAAGAGCCTTGCTTAAGGCCCAGCCATTCTGCTTGTGGAGGAAACTGAGAAGCTCAAGTTTATCATTGATCAAAAATATATCCGATTTAGTAAGCCACTCGGTTTGTGAAGGGGATGTAAATAGAGCACACTTAAAAAATTGGGTAAACCGTACCTTCAGATTAACCCTCAAATTGATAAACAAGAGAGCAAGGATTAGAGTTTACCAGAGGGAGCAGACTGAGGTACTGAAAATCCCCATGACTATGTATCTTGTGCTTTTAAGTCAGAGGCCTAATACCGCAATCTAGAGAGAAAGCAGAATGGAGTACGTTTAAACTTGCGGCAGTTAAAAATCAATATTTTTAATTACCTTTAAAATGATCAAAAAAAAAAAATGTATAAGATCCCAGGTGGCCATCTGATTTTTTTTGTTTGTTTAACGTGAAATTTATCATAAAGGCTGGATGATAAGAGGAATCAGGTATATCATTAAATTATGCTTCAATTATAATTATGATCCTGGGGGTTTTGAGTCCCATAATGAGGGTTTTCGGTTGTAAGTGGTCTGGGAAACCCATTGAAGAAGCCAAAGATGTGGGTGACTGTAGAAGTTCTTCATCTTCCCCTGACTTTTCAGTGTGGTAGTTTTGCTATTATTTCGTTTCTACCTATCATGAATCTTTTTTTTAAATTGTAAAGGAAAGTAAATTAAAATGCCATAAGATTCAACCCAAACTTGCTGCCATCGAGTTGATTCCAACTTATAGTGACCCATAGGACAGAGTAGAACTGCCAATAAGGTTTCCAAGGCTGTAATCTTTACAGAAGTCGACCGCCACATCTTCCTCTGGTGGAACAGCTGGTGGGTTTGAACTGCCAATCTTTCGGTTAGCAGCTGAGCACTTAACCACTGTCCTACCAGAGCTCCTTATCTTTTAAGATTAAGAATTCAGAATTAATGATATATTAGGTAAGATTTAATATAAAAGGTAAAAAGCTAATCCCAGTAAGATAAAAGTTTACAAATACCAAAAAATAAAAAAGGTTGAGTTAAAAAACTGAAACCCCAAAAAGAGTTTTAAAAATTGAATATGTATGGGATTAAGAAATAAAGACAGAATTGACACACTACAAAAGCATATGTAGTTTATATACATACATACATTAAAAAAAAAGTTGCTGTTGAATTGATTCCAACTCAACAATGACTCCATGTGTGTCAGAGTAGAACTGTGCTCCATAGGATTTTTCAGTGGCTTTTTTGGAAGTAGATTGCCAGGCCTTTCTTCTGAGGTACCCCTGAGTAGACTCAGACTTCCAACCTTTTTGGCTAGCAGGACAGCATGTTAAATATTTGCAACACTCAATGACTGCAAATATATATATATATGCATACAATAATATATGCATATATATTTACATATATGTATACATACATGGAAACCCTGGTGGCATAGTGGTTAAGAGTTTGGCTGCTTACCAAAAGGTTGACAGTTCAAATCCTCCAGGAACTCTTTGGAAACCCTATGGGGCAGTTATACTCTGTCCTATAGGGTCACTATGAGTCAGAATCGACTTGACAGCACCGGGTTTGATTTTTGGTTTATACACACATACAGAGCCCTGGTGGTGGAGTGGTTAAAGCGCTAGGCTGCTAACTGACAGGTTGGCGGTCTGAACCTACCAGCTGCTCCAAGGGAGAAACATGTGTCAGTCTGCTGCCATAAAGATTACAGTCTTGGAAACCCTATAGGGCAGTTCTACTCTGTCGTATGGGATTGCTATGAGTCAGAATCGACTCAGTAGCAATGGGTTTGGTTTGTTTGGTTTATTCATACATATATTATGCCTATGTACATATACTGTATTTATAACGATATAAATATTATTTTACTAGATTTTTTTAAAAGTTAAAGAACAGTCAGGTATATCAAAGTCAAATCCTGATGGTAGTAATACTAGTTTCAGAAAAAGGAGAATTAAAGGGAAAAGCTTTAAAATGGAACAAAGTCAGTAATTTTATGTTACTAAAAGATGTTGCCTGTAATAAAGATATGTTGTTGTTGTTGTTGTTAG